TGCAACCAGGAAAATCCGTAAAAAAAACTGATGATCGTATTATCCTCTGCCAAGCCATATGAAGTCCTTGTCATTTTTCCTTTCCTTGGGAAACAATGTGGGAGGAAAACCTCAGAAAGAAAATATGCAGCATACCAACATTCGGCGAAAGCCTAATTTACAATGTAATGATGATGACGAACATAATAATCGGCATAACTCACTCGTATGGACGAGGAGGTGCACACTCACACACTTCTAATGCGATTGCATAGCAAGTGACACGACGACAAGACCGACCGACCTTCTTCCAAGGATAACCAAAACTATGCAGCATCCTTGCCGCTATCTCCGCCGCCTTGACAAATACCCAGCGCCAGGCAGCTACTCAAATTTACAAGCAAATGAAATGCTCGTACATGTCTGCTCCGCTTAGCTCTTTTTTATGAGATTTAGTTAGTTAGATTGTTGTTGTTATTTTTTCGATGACTTCTTTGTTTTTTTTTTGCTTCAAGACAAGACCAACAACAACAACAACCCCTTTTGCCAAACCAGCCATCTTTCGTTACCCTATTTGGCATCAGCCCAACACACAAAGCATTTGAGAGGAAGGACGCTGCGAAAACAACCGAAAAAAAAAAAGATTTAAATAAATATGAAAAACAAAGAAGAAGAAGCAGCAGCAGCAGCAGCTGAAAACAAACAAGAATACTCCACACACACTCACACCTTTGCATTCCAAGCCCATCCGGCTAAGGCCCAAGCCCCATTAGTTGTGATCACATATTAGTCATGTAAGTCTCTCTGTTTGTTTGTTTGTCTGTGTGGTTGTTGTTGTTGTTGTTGCAAAAACAAATGTGTCCTGAAAAAAAAAAACACGAGGAATTTGATTTCGTTGCTAAAGCCTCTGGGCAAGTTCAACATAAAAATTGCTTTCATTCAAATTGCAAAGATGCAGAAGAGATTTGTTGTTGCTCACAAAGTCCATAGATGGTTCCAAAGTTCAAATGGGGAAAATTAAAAAGAAACAGAGGTTGGAAGGGAAATTCCTTAAGGACCTTTTGCCCAAAGACTATATAGATGGTGGATGTTTTAGACATTTTTTCACGGACCTTTCCAACAATAAACGTGAATTTTTTAAAAACTTTTTTAGGATTTTTTCATTCCAAAGAATGAAAGGACTTTTAGTCCAGAAAACGTGGATTTTTTAAAGAAAATTTTGCCAGGACCTTTAATCCAGAAAATGTGGATTTTTTAAAGAATTTGTTTCAAGGACCCTTAGTCCTATAAACGTGGATTTTTTAAAGAATATTTTTCAAGGACCTTAGTCCTATAAACGTGGATTTTTTTAAAGAATTTTTTTTTTCAAGGACCCTCTGCCCTATAATCGTGGATTTTTTTAAAAAATATTTTTCAAGGACCCTTACTCCTATAAACGTGGATTTTTTTAAAGAATATTTTTCAAGGACTATCCGAACAATAAACGTGGATTTTTTAAAGAATATTTTTCAAGGACTATCCGAACAATAAACGTCGATTTTTAAAAATAAATAAACGTGGATTTTTTAAGGAATATTTTTCAAGGACTATCCGTACAATAAACGTAAATTTTTTTAAGGAATATTTTTCAAGGACCTTTAGTCCAGAAAACGTGGATTTTTTAAAGAATATTTTGCCAGGACTCTTAACCTAGAAAACGTGGATTTTCAAAAAATATTTTTCAAGGACCTTTAGTCCACAAATTGTGGATTTTTTAACGAAATTTTTTCTAAGACCTTTAATCCAGAAAACGTGGATTTTTTAAAGAATATTTTGCCAGGACTCTTAACCCAGAAAACGTGGATTTTCAAAAAATATTTTTCAAGGACCTTTAGTCCACAAATTGGGGATTTTTTTAACGAAATTTTTTCTAAGACCTTTAATCCAGAAAACGTGGATTTTTAAAAGAAAATTTTGCTTGGACCTTTAATCCAGGACTTTGTCCAATAAACGTGGTTTTTTTAAAGAAGTTTTTTTTTTCAAGAATGGAAAATATTTTTCAAGGACACAGAACCTTTGTGCAATAAACGTGGATATTTTAAAGAATTTTTTTTTTTTCAGGAAAGGAAAATATTTTTTAAGGATATAGGACCTTTGTCCAATAAACGTGGATGTTTTAGAGCCTTTTTTTTCAAGAAAGGAAAATATTTTTCAAGGACACAGCACCTTTGTCCATTAAACGTGGATTTTTTAAACAATTTTCTTCAAGGAAAGAAAATATTTTTCAAGGACAAGGTCCTGTGTCCAATAAACGTGGATTTTTTAAAGAATTTTTTTCAGGAAAGAAGAATATTTTTCAACGACACAGGACCTTTGTCCAAGAAACGTGGATTTTTTAAAGAATTTTTTTCAGGAAAGGAAAATATTTTTCAACGACACATGACCTTTGTCCAATAAACGTGGATTTTTCAAAGCATTTTTTTTTCAAGAAAGGAAAATATTTTTCAACGGCACAGGACCTTTGTCCAATAAACGTTGATTTTTTAAAGAATTTTTTTTTTCAAGGACATTTAGTCCGATTTTTTAATGATCTCCAATCCAAGAAACGTGGCTTTTGAAAGCATTTTTAAGTCCGATTTTTTAAGGATCTTCAATCCAATTGCATAGCAAGGATCTTCAATCCAATAAGCGTGGCTTTTTAAAGAATTTTTTGGCAAGGACTTTTCATTTTTTAAAGAATATTTTTCAAGGACCTTTGGTTCAATAAACGCGGATTTTTTAAAGAATATCTTTCAAGAACCTTTGGTTCAATAAACGTGGATTTTTTAAAGAATATTTTTCAAGAACCTTTGGTTCAATAAACGTGGATTTTTTAAAGAATATTTTTCAAGTACCTTTGGTTCAATAGACGTGGATTTTTAAAGAATATTTTTCAAGGACCATCCAAACAATAAACCTGGATTTTTTAAAGAATATTTTTCAAGGACCATCCAAACAATAAACCTGGATTTTTTAAAGAAGATTTTTCAAGGACCATCCAAACAATAAACGTGGATTTTTTAAAAAATATTTTTCAAGGATCACAGGATAAATAAACGTGGATTTTTTAAAAAATATTTTTCAAGGATCACAGGATAAATAAACGTGGATTTTTTTTAAGAATATTTTTCAAGGACTATCCGAACAATAAACGTGGGTTTTTTAAAGTATATTTTCAAGGACTATCCGAACAATAAACGTGGATTTTTTAAAGTATATTTTTCAAGGACTATCCGAACAATAAACGTGGATTTTTTAAAGATTATTTCTCAAGGACTATTCGACCATTAAACGTGGATTTTTTTTAAGAATATTTTTCAAGGACTATCCGAACAATAAACGTGGATTTTTTAAAAACTATTTTTCAAGGATCACAGGATAAATAAACGTGGATTTTTTAAAAAATATTTTTCAAGGATCACAGGATAAATAAACGTGGATTTTTTTTAAGAATATTTTTCAAGGACTATCCGAACAATAAACGTGGATTTTTTAAAGAATATTTTTCAAGGATCACAGGATAAATAAACGTGGATTTTTTAAAAAATATTTTTCAAGGATCACAGGATAAATAAACGTGGATTTTTTTTAAGAATATTTTTCAAGGACTATCCGAACAATAAACGTGGGTTTTTTAAAGTATATTTTCAAGGACTATCCGAACAATAAACGTGGATTTTTTAAAGTATATTTTTCAAGGACTATCCGAACAATAAACGTGGACTTTTTAAAGAATATTTTTCAAGGACCTTTGGTTCAATAAACGTGGATTTTTCAAAGAATATTTTTCAAGGACCTTTGGTTCAATAAACGTGGATTTTTTAAAGAATATTTTTCAAGGACCTTTGGTTCAATAAACGTGGTTTTTTTAAAGAATATTTTTCAAGGACCTTTGGTGAATTAAACGTGGATTTTTTAAAGAATATTTTTCAAGGACCTTTGGTTCAATAAACGTGGTTTTTTTAAAGAATATTTTTCAAGGACCTTTGGTGAATTAAACGTGGATTTTTTAAAGAATATTTTTCAAGGACCTTTGGTTCAATAAACGTGGATTTTTTAAAGAATTTTATTCAAGGACCCTTAGTCCTATAAACGTGGACTTTTTAAGGAATTTTTTCAAGGACCCTTAGTCCTATAAACGTGGATTTTTTAAAGAATATTTTTCAAGGACCTTTGGTTCAATAAACGTGGATTTTTAAAGAATATTTTTCAAGGATCTTTGGTTCAATAAACGTGGATTTTTAAAGAATATTTTCCAAGGACCCATAAACGTGGATTTTTTAAATAATATTTTTCAAGGACCCATAAACGTGGATTTTTTAAATAATATTTTTCAAGGACCAATAAACGTGGATTTTTTAAAGAATATTTTTCAAGGACCTTTGGTTCAATAGCCGTGGATTTTTAAAGAATATTTTTCAAGGACCTCTGGGTTAATAAACGTGGATTTTTTAAAAAAATATTTTTCAAGGACCTCTGGTTCAATAAACGTGGATTTTTTAAAAAATATTTTTCAGGGACCTTCGGTAAAATAAACGTGGATTTTTTAAAAAATATTTTTCAGGGACCTTCGGTATAATAAACGTGGATTATTGAAGGAATTTTTTCAAGGACCCTTCGGTATAATAAACGTGGATTATTGAAGGAATTTTTTCAAGGACCATTCGACCAATAAACATAGGTATTCATATAACTTTTTCAAGGACTATACGACCAATAAACATAGATTTTCATAGAACTTTTTCAAGGACCATCCGCCCAATAAACGTGGACTTTTTAAAGAAGTTTTTTAAGGACATTTAATCCAATAAATTGGGCTTTTGCAGATAAAACATTTCACGCACCAGTAATGATATATCCTTTTACTCTAAGCTCAGTTAATAGAAGTACGCAAAAAATTTGCCTTAAACTAAAAAAAATAATAAAAATAAAAAAAACTTTCTAAAACCTTTCCTGGCCGCTTCATTTCTCATTCGTCGAAAATGTGTGCCCTCCTAACTCACCTGTTCGTTGTCCACATTGCGATTTAAATATGCAGACAAACTTCGCGCCATTTTATTGGTACTCCTGCCAGGATTTAATGTCCTTTATTATAGCTTTTCTATCGCTCGCTATCCCTTTCTCTCCTGCCCTTCTTTGTCCCTTTGTTTGCCGCTTAGCCACTTAACATTGTATCATCGTTCATTCGACGTCGTTACTCACAATTCTTCAAGTTTTCAAAGTTTCGGCGTCAGATCCTCCTTGACATCACCAAGTTCTAATGCTGTGGATGTGGACGTCGATGTTGTTGCATTTAGGGCTTTATTGTTAGGTGAAAGATTGCCACTGATGCCATGAAAATTGTTATTGTTGTTGCCTTCCATCACCGAGAACTCTATGACTTGGCTACTTTTTGATGACTTTTCAAGTCATTATTGTCCGAAAAAAGCAAACTTTTGCCAACTCTTAAATCTTCATTGCAGAGCAGTGAAATTCTTGAGCTACTCGACCATTGTTGTCACTTCTAATTGATTGCAATTTCATAACGGAGACAAAAACAAAAACGTTTTAGCTGGAAAAATATTTGTCGCAATTAAATGGAGATTTTAATTTGAAACAACTTCGTTATCAGTTGGCTCATTATGATCCAAAGGACCTTGAGAGCGTAATAATGGGTGGATGTATATGTGTGTGTGCAGTGCACTTAAAGATAGAAAGAGAGAGAGAGAGATCAAAATATTGAACACGAAAAGTAATAGCAGAGCTCCAGCTTCTCTATGGGCAATAGGAGAGATCCAGCCCACCTATGGACCATAGGAGAGCTCCAGCCCACCTATATGCCATAGGAGAGCTTCAGCTCACCTATATGCCATAGGAGAGCTTCAGCTCACCTATATGCCACAGGAGAGCTTCAGCTCACCTATATGCCATAAGAGAGCTTCAGCTCACCTATATGCCATAGGAGAGCTTCAGCTCACCTATATGCCATAGGAGAGCTTCAGCTCACCTATATGCCATAGGAGAGCTTCAGCTCACCTATATGCCATAGGAGAGCTCCAGCTCACCTATATGCCATAGGAGAGCTCCAGCTCACCTATATAGGAGAGCTTCAGCTCACCTACATAGGAGAGCTCCAGCTCACCTATAGGCCATAGGAGAGCTCCAGCTCACCTATAGGCCATAGGAGAGATCCAGCTCACCTATAGGCCATAGGAGAGATCCAGCTCACCTATAGGCCACAGGAGAGCTCCAGCTCTTCTATAGGCAATAGGAGAGCTCCAGCTCTTCTATAGGCAATAGGAGAGCTCCAGCTCTTCTATAGGCAATAGGAGAGCTCCAGCTCTTCTATAGGCAATAGGAGAGCTCCAGCTCTTCTATAGGCAATAGGAGAGCTCCAGCTCACCTATAGGCCATAGGAGAGCTCCAGCTCACCTATAGGCCATAGGAGAGCTCCAGCTCACCTATAGGCCATAGGAGAGATCCAGCTCACCTATAGGCCATAGGAGAGCTCCAGCTCTTCTATAGGCAATAGGAGAGCTCCAGCTCTTCTATAGGCAATAGGAGAGCTCCAGCTCTTCTATAGGCAATAGGAGAGCTCCAGCTCTTCTATAGGCAATAGGAGAGCTCCAGCTCTTCTATAGGCAATAGGAGAGCTCCAGCTCACCTATAGGCCATAGGAGAGCTCCAGCTAACCTATAGGCCATAGGAGAGCTCCAGCTCACCTATAGGCCATAGGAGAGCTCCAGCTCACCTATAGGCCATAGGAGAGCTCCAGCTCACCTATAGGCCATAGGAGAGCTCCAGCTCACCTATGGACAATAGGCGAGCTCCAGCTCACCTATGGACAATAGGCGAGCTCCAGCTCACCTATGGACAATAGGCGAGCTCCAGCTCACCTATGGACAATAGGCGAGCTCCAGCTCACCTATGGACAATAGGCGAGCTCCAGCTCACCTATGGACAATAGGCGAGCTCCAGCTCACCTATGGACAATAGGCGAGCTCCAGCTCACCTATGGACAATAGGCGAGCTCCAGCTCACCTATGGACAATAGGCGAGCTCCAGCTCACCTATGGACAATAGGCGAGCTCCAGCTAATCTATGGACAATAGGCGAGCTCCAGCTCACCTATGGACAATAGGCGAACTCCAGCTCACCTATGGACAATAGGCGGGCTCCAGCTCACCTATGGACAATAGGCGAGCTCCAGCTCACCTATGGACAATAGGCGAGCTCCAGCTCACCTATGGACAATAGGCGAACTCCAGCTCACCTATGGACAATAGGCGAGCTCCAGCTCACCTATGGACAATAGGCGAGCTCCAGCTCACCTATGGACAATAGGCGAGCTCCAGCTCACCTATGGACAATAGGCGAGCTCCAGCTCACCTATGGACAATAGGCGAGCTCCAGCTCACCTATGGACAATAGGCGAGCTCCAGCTCACCTATGGACAATAGGCGAGCTCCAGCTCACCTATGGACAATAGGCGAGCTCCAGCTCACCTATGGACAATAGGCGAGCTCCAGCTCACCTATGGACAATAGGCGAGCTTCAGCTCACCTATGGACAATAGGCGAGCTCCAGCTCACCTATGGACAATAGGCGAGCTCCAGCTCACCTATGGACAATAGGCGAGCTCCAGCTCACCTATGGACAATAGGCGAGCTCCAGCTCACCTATGGACAATAGGCGAGCTCCAGCTCACCTATGGGCAAATAGGCGAGCTCCAGCTCACCTATGGGCAAATAGGAGAGCTCCAGCTCTCCTATGGGCAAATAGGAGAGCTCCAGCTCACCTATGGGCAAATAGGAGAGCTCCAGCTCACCTATGGGCAAATAGGAGAGCTCCAGCTCACCTATGGGCAAATAGGAGAGCTCCAGCTCACCTATGGGCAAATAGGAGAGCTCCAGCTCACCTATGGGCAAATAGGCGAGCTCCAGCTCACCTATGGACAATAGGCGAGCTCCAGCTCACCTATGGGCAAATAGGCGAGCTCCAGCTCACCTATGGGCAAATAGGCGAGCTCTAGCTCACTTATGGGCAATAGGCGAGCTGTAGCTCACCTATGGACAATAGGCGAGCTGTAGCTCACCTATGGGCAATAGGCGAGCTGTAGCTCACCTATGGGCAATAGGCGAGCTGTAGCTCACCTATGGACAATAGGTGAGCTGTAGCTCACCTATGGACAATAGGCGAGCTGTAGCTCACCTATGGGCAATAGGCGAGCTGTAGCTCACCTATGGACAATAGGCGAGCTGTAGCTCACCTATGGACAATAGGCGAGCTGTAGCTCACCTATGGACAATAGGCGAGCTGTAGCTCACCTATGGGCAATAGGCGAGCTGTAGCTCACCTATGGGCAATAGGCGAGCTGTAACTCACCTATGGGCAATAGGCGAGCTGTAGCTCACCTATGGGCAATAGGCGAGCTGTAGCTCACCTGTGTGCAATAGGCGAGCTGTAGCTCACATATGGACAATAGGCGAGCTGTAGCTCACCTATGGGCAATAGGCGAGCTGTAGCTCACCTATGGGCAATAGGCGAGCTGTAGCTCACCTGTGGGCAATAGGCGAGCTGTAGCTCACCTATGGGCAATGGGCGAGCTGTAGCTCTTCTATAGGCCATAGGAGAGCTCTAGCTCTTCTATAGACAATATGAGACCTCCAGCTCTTCTATGGACAATAGAAGAGCTCCAGCTCTTCTACGGACAATAGTAGAGCTCCAGTTTACCTATAGGCCATAGGAGAGCTCCAGCTCTTCTATAGGCAATTGGAGGCCACTTCTTCTTCTATTTCTGTATTTTCTATTCATTTTGTCCTGCAATACATAATTTTTTTTCTTCTCTATTTTCTTGATGAAGGTAATGTTCATTCTCAGTAGAATTTTTATTAATATCGAAGGCTAATCAGAACTTAATTCAAGGACATTTGTGGTTTAGTTGTTTTCTCTTGAATGCCGGTCGTTAAAACAATGAAGGCAATAAATCAATACATCTTGATTAGTTGAGTGGACAATAAAATGAATTGGAGAAAAAATGAATCAAAACGTTTCATGTCCAGCTGCGATATACGGTGGATTCTGGCACAGAAGGATACTAACAATGGATGGACGTTAGGTATCTCATGGGGGAATTTTAAGTTAAAGAAGACCAAAAACTTTCTTTTGAAGGTTATATGGTTCTGTGAAAATATTCTCAAGTGAGGTGTTCCACTGTAAGTTGGATAATATACTGCTATTATCGTGATATCCGTACCACAATTTTTTCCAAGGATAATGACTAAGTTCACATATCATTTATTGAGTTTTTGCTTTACTCTCTATTTTCTAAATCAAATTAATGGAAATTGTTTGCAAAACACAATTTACATTTGAAGCCAGGTTGTAGTGCCCCTCCATCATTCATCATACCAATAACAACAACAACAATAATAGCCACAAAATACCACTAAGAACTTTAACAAACAATGACAGCAGACATCAACACCCTCAAACCTGTAACCGAATGAGAGATAGAGGGAGAGAGAGAGAGAGACAAAGTCCTGGTAACGAAAAAATTGAAAGTCAATTACCATCATTGCATAAATGTGTTCGTCATTCGTCAGGATATGGGCGATGATGGTGTGGAACACTTGTTCACAACATTCTGTGGGGGGGGGAACCTTTGTTCTGTGATGTTGATGGAACAACTTCATCATAGTCAGAAAGTCATCAACACCAAGTGAAGGCGATTTTCCAATCAGCTTACAAAACTATAACATTATGAGGAACAACAACATCATCAACGACGATGATGGGATACCATGTCTTCATCATCATCTTCGTCATTGGTTTTGACACATGGCATTGTTGTCATAATGACAATGGGGAAAAAATTCCAGAAAGGGTGAGGGGTAACATATTATTTCGAAGAGGCAAAAATGAGAAAAATGTTACAAATGCAAGTACTTGTCGTTGGATATTTGTGTTTTTGACATTTTTTTACTTTTTATACAGGTTTGTCATATCATAGGACATGTGGTGCACCATTTTTAGGATTGCAGGTACAGAAATTATGGAGATTTAGCACAAAAATATAACATTTTAAGGCATTTATACCTTTTTTACAGGTTTGTTACATTTACGACATTTTCACTTTTTGACATTTATACTCCGAAATTTCAAAGAAACAATTTGCTAAAACTAAAAATTGATATTTTCGACTTTAAATACGTTTTATACAAGTATTTGACGTTTTTATACAGGCAT